GTTCTCAAAGTTAGCAATGCCGATGACAAGTCTCACAAAGAAGGAAGAAAAATTCTTGTAGACTCAAGAGTGTGAACTAGTTTTTCGCACCTTGAAGGAGAAGTTGACAACTGCTCCTGTCCTCATTATTCTGAGTAGTGGGAAAGAATACGATGTGTATACCGATGCTTCGCTACGAGGCTTGGGGTGTGTGCTAATGCAAGGAGGGAAGGTGGTTGCCTACGGCTCTAGGCAACTCAAGGTTCATGAGCAGAATTATCCCACCCATGACTTAGAGTTTGCCGCTGTGGTCTTTGCTCTTAAGTTGTGGAAGTGTTATTTTTATGGAGAGAAATTCCAAGTGTTCTCTAATCAGGAGAGCCTAAAATATATCTTCACACAAAAAGACTTGAATCTCTAGCAAAGAAGGTGGATTGAGTACCTAGAAGACTACGATTTCACACTCAACTACCATTCGAGGAAGGCGAATGTAGTAGCCGATGCACTTAACAAGAAGTCTCGGGATGAACTCAATGTTTCCATAGATGAATGGAAGTTGAAGGATGCCCTTGGATATTATGATCTATGGGTTGGAGAAGATGGATCCCGACCATGCTTGTTCAACCTTGTGGCTCAACCTACTTTCCAACGTAGGGCTGTGGAATTGCAATGCTTGGATCCTAAATTAGCGTCGATTCAAGCTAAATTGGAGAAACTATGGAGGGTTGGTCTTTGAGAAATGGAGAATTGAGATATGGGGAGAAGCTATGTGTTCCCGATGATTCATCCCTAAATGAGGAGATACTTGGAGAGTGTCATCACTCTAAATTTGTTTTCCAGCCCGGTAGCACAAAAATGTATAGGGACATGAAGTGTCAATATTGGTGGAAGGGAATGAAGAAGGATGTGGCAAGGTTCATAGCACAATGTGCGGTGTGCCAGCAGGTGAAGATCAAACATCAAAAGCCAGGAGGATTACTACAATCTTTGCCTATCCCAGAGTGGAAGTGGGATCACATCACCATGAATTTCGTGTCGGGTTTACCACAGACGTCACGCGGGCATAATGTAGTATGGGTTATTGTGGATAGACTCACCAAATCCGCTCATTTTTTTGGGTATGAAGACCACGGACACATTCGAGACTTTGAGCTAGCTGTATATTCGTGAGATTGTGCGATTGGATGGAGTTCCGCTTTCTATCGTGTCGGATCGTGATTCTCGGTTTGTAGCATGGTTCTGGCAAAGTCTACAATAAGTCATGGGGACAGAGTTACATTTTAACACAACTTTTCATCCCCAAACGGATGGCCAATCCAAGAGGGTGATACAGATTATGGAAGACATGTTACGTGTTGGACTTCAAAGGAAGCTGGAGTGATCACTTGCCATTGGTGGAGTTTGCGTATAACAACAGCTATCAGGCAAGCATTGGGATGGCACTGTATGAAGCATTGTATGGAAGACTGTGTAGATCCCCAACGTGTTGATTGGAAGCCGCCGAAAGTAGTTTGTTTGGACCGGAGATTGTTCGAGAAACTACTGAGAAAATTCAACTCATCCGAGAGAGGTTACGCATGGCACAAAGCCGACAGAAAAGCTATGCGGATCAAAGAAGAAGACTCTTGGAATTCAAAGTGGGAGACTACGTGTTCCTCAAAGCGTCACCCAAGAAAGAAGAGAAAGTTAGAGCCAAGATATACCGGACCATTTGAAGTGATCAAAGTTGTGGGCAAAGCAGCGTATCAGTTGCGGTTACCAACTCAATTGTTTGGGGTACATGATGTGTTCCACGTGTCGATGTTGAGAAAGTGTCAATTGGATGCAAAGCCGGTCGTAGACTTGGAAGATACTGAAATTCAAGAAGGAGCAACCTATGGAGAATAATCGGTGAAGATTCTCGACGCCAAAGAGAAGGTGTTCCGCAACAAAGTCTTCCGACTACTGAAGGTTTTGTGGCAACACCATGGAGTGGAAGAAGCTACTGGAGAACCGGAGCTAGAAATGCGAGAGAAGTACCTGCACTTATTCGCTACTTGAGGTAAGTTTCGAGAACGAAACTTTCTTTAAGGGGGTGGATTGTAAACCCCCACATGTCTAAACTATCAACAATCATCCAATTAGCTTTGTTTTTCATTTAACGTCTCCATTTACATCTTAAATCAAAATATAAGAATAATAAGTATATTTAGGCTTTAAACAAGTATAGAAAAAACAAGCAGTCCGGCAGACTACCTTTCACCAATTTGATCATAACTCTTTGTTGGAAAGTCCAAATTGTGCACCGTTATTTTTGTTATAACCCTAACTTGTATATCTTTCCAACCATATAGGTCACACATACTAGAACTACCTGAGTTAAATCAGTTTATTCTCTGAAGTTGATAAAAAAAATCTGCACTGTGGTGTTCCTTGGATAGTAAAGTGTTGTGCTTTCTTCTTAGACTTTGAAGGTATAAACCCCCACATGTTTATATTAATATAGTAATATACTTGTTTAGTGATTCTTATTTATGTAATGATGTAAAAATAAACCATATATATTGAAACTGTAAGAATAAATACTAGGAAGGAATAAAATAATAATTTTAATGTTTCGAGTGTAAATTTATTTTATTTTTGAAATAAATCATAAAAATAAATGTTTTTAGGTTAAAATAACATTAAAAATGAATCCAGAACATCGAAAAACCTTAGGGTAGTCATATGGATCAAATTGAAGATCTTAGTGGCAAAACCGTAACTTGGGAGAAACCCAAAATAGGCTGTAAACAGTAAAAATCGGGATTGACTGTGTTTAAAACACTGATTTCAGTCCCTTTAACTTCATTTCTTTCACTCCACTCTCACCCCACACCTCTTGGAACCCTAGGAGAAGGTAAAGGAAATGAAGGAGAGGAGAAAGGAGGTCTATAGGGCTTGGGCTTTCACTTGGAATTCTTGATTCTAGGTACGAATTTCTTCTCATTATCTTACATTGAGGCTAGAGTTTATATCTATGTATATTTTGCTTCTAAATCTTAGATATATGTTATGAAATCATTATTTCTTGATACTCTTGCAAATATTATCATGTTTGGAATGAAGTTATGGTTTGATAGCCATGAAATCTCAAAACCCTTGTTTATTTTAAGAAATAGAGATTTTTCTTCTTCATATTCCTTAATTCTTTATTTCAAAACCCTAGTGCTTTGTTTGAACAATAAAAATATTTGTTTGATGATCTCTTGCATATTTTTCTTAAATTGTTCTATTGGAATCATATGGGAGAAAATTGAGGATTTTTGAGATTTAATGTAATTTGAGAAATATCTATGGAGTTTGGGGGTTTTGAAAATTATGAATTTTTGTTGAGAATTCTTTGGTGATTGTATCTCATAGAGGTGTTTGAATGACCATGGGTGGCCGTTGACCGGGTATCGTAGAGTGGGTAGATGTGTGTGATTTTTACTCCGTGTGGGTTTGAACTTTTTCTACCACTCGTAGTGGGGTTGGTGTTTTGCGAGGACTAAACCACTATTAGCTCACGGGTGTCGTGTCAAAGGATTAGTATACTATGCCTGGGTCGGATTCGTTATTGCCGGTGCATTGATATGGGACAATGCACCGGTAGGCGCCCTTCCCAAAGTTTGATATCGTTGCGAGGATTTGTGTGTGTGTGGGCCAGGATATTCTCGATGTGTTTATTCATGCGATTATCTTACATTAGACTTGAGATACATTGTGGTTATTGTTTATTGCGTTATCTTTTGGATATGATTATCTTGAAAATTATTGTGGGAATAATTACTCTTTGGAATGGTTATTTATGGTGGGATTGACTTACTCTTCCACTTAATTACTATTAATGTATAAACTTGAGATCTTTGGAAATGTCATGTTTTCTTTCAAAATTTACGTATGTTATTTGTGAAATGAGACCGACCATTTTCTACGTTTTCCAAACTTTGTTAGAGTTTGAGAGGATTTTTCTACAGAGCTTAGCGCTCACCCCCAACTAATAATGTTTTCTTTTCAGATTTCGTGCTAGAGGAAGATCCCGGCGTTGACGAGCCGGGAAATTGGGAGGTTCCACCAGAGGGGAACCTAGATCCTGAGGTGGACATCTAGAGCTATAGTTTATTTTTGTGCTAGACTAGGGGATTTGTTTACGATCATGTATATTCTAGTATTTGTTTATTCTGCTGCTAAGTTTGAATATAATTCTTTTGGAATGTAAAGGACATAGCTTGACCTATTTTTTTGGGATGATATTGTGGATATTACATGTGGTGAATGAAATTTTATTATTTGATGGGTAAATGGACCCAGTGTGGTCAATATTTATTCATATATGGACCGGATGTAGTCAATGTAGTATAATTGCACAAGTTATTTTTTGAGTAGAGTTTCCGTACAAATGAGACTCTGCCCGAATTTTGTTAAATTGAGGATGTTCTTTAATGATGGATTTATTTAGTTGCTCTCATGACATGAATGTTTTTAAATGGTAATGCCATCCAGGGTGATTTTTGGGGCGTTATAATAATCAAGTTTGTGTCATAAAATTCGTGTCGAGTTCGAGTCGTTTCATTGTGTTAAGTTGAAAATTTTAGCCCCCTAGTTAAGATGAATTTTTTTTTTAATTTAAAAATTTTAAATTAAATTAATTTAATTTTTAATTTATATATATATATAATTTTTTATCATTGTATTTTTATAAGAAATTAATGTATGCATAATATATAGATAAATAAGACACATCTTAACACAAATAATTAACTTTCCATCCATTTCTTTTCTAATTTTGGAGGGATTGATTTTGGTGAGTTGAAAGGAAAGTTAATCCATTCACTTTTCCATCCTTCCTATTTTCCTTCCTTACCAAACATGATGTTTTATTTATCCCTCAAACTTTTCATCTTTCCAACTTTCTATCATAGCAAACCAAGCATTAATGTAGTTTAGCTCAATTAAATCCAAAATTTTATACCGGCTTCCAAATTTACCTTTATTATATTGCCTCAAATGAGTTCATGAAATTAGAAAATAACACAATTATTAGTTGGTTTGATTGCCACAACTCTTGCATAATTTGTCGGTATAGGAGGAGAATATTCATGATCCATGTCTCTTGTTGCTTTCAATTTTTTCTCCTCGCTGTCCAGGCCAATCGTATCAACCCCTACATAATTACAATAAAAAAAAAATTAAACTTCAGAAATTTTATATTTTCATTATCCGGGTTTATTATGTCTTATCACTAAAGAGTCTTTAAGAAAATACCTGAGAGGCCAAAGAGTATCCTAACGAATTTTTGCTTGTCTTTGTCATCATGCAGCTCCAATTTGAGTGCCACTTCCTATAACAAACAAAGTACAACAGAACCAAAACATATATTTTGATGGCATACGAGGTTCACACAAAAAAGCAATTCACGTATACATATGTGTCTCTTAAGAGTAAGTAGTAAAACATGTGTTGAATTGATAGGAACCCAACAAAATGACTTTATTAGAAGTTCAATTAAGCAGAGATTTTAAATTTAAGCAAATGACAACCTGTCAAAGTCATCCATGCTGAGGTTTGAAATATAACTCAACAAAATTCTGAAAAACTCCTAGAAATTTCACATACTTGGAAGTTTTGTGTGTATATGTTTAATTAAAGGGAGATTATAATCCAAATAAGATTCACGGTAGAATGCAACAAAAAGGTGATATAAAGATGGAGTAAAGTGAGATTTCTAACCTCCATTTTTTTTTTTGAAGTTTCGATATCTAAGTTGAGGTCCCAGAAAAAGTTGCTTAGCAAGTCCTGAAGAAGAATTTTCACCGGAGAGATTTCAAGAAAAAAAAGGAGAAAAAAAAATGTGAAGAGCCTACCAAATTTGAAGCTACCCTAAAGGCATTTTATAACGAGTGAATGAGGTGGGGGAAGAAGAATGAGTCAAAGGTCACTAACCGACAATCATTATTTTCTAACGATGAGGTGGAAAAAAATATATGAAGGAGACAACTGCATCATTGTCATTGTAATTCATATTTTAGAATGTGGTTTGAGCATTTGAAATATGAAGACAACTTTTGTTTTATATGTTTGGTCTTTCTTTCAATTTTGGCAAACATTACTTTTTTTAAAGATCCATTTGGCTAAGAAGAAATAAATGAATGAAAGTGAGAATGGTAGAAAGTATAGTGATAAAAAGGAAAATAAAAAGAAATATATTTTTAGTCATATATTTGGTTAGAATGAACAAATTGGTTGAGAGGTAGGAAATTTACAAGAAAATATTCCTAGTTGTCAAAAGATTATCCTTAAATATATTAAAATTGACTAAACATTAAAAAAACAAGTATTTTACCAAAAAATTAGAAGGGAAAAAAAAAAACTTCTAGGACAATGATTTGCCTGACCCAACAAGGAGTATTTAAGGATAAAACTCAAATTATACACCATAACTTTTTTATTTTTTGTGTTTTTTGCAAGAAAAAAAGGTTCATTATTTATGAAAAAATCTATGGATGCAGGAAAATTAATATGTCTAGTGTTTTCCATTTCATGCTAAATAAGCACAAGAAAAAACTTAAAAATTTTCCTCCCTTTCATTTTTTACTAATATCCCGCTAAATAAACGTAACTTAAAGTTGACGCCATACACTCGTAAATCTACTCACGAGGCAAGTTTAGGGCATATTTTATTCTATTTCTTCATTAAAGTAGTATGAGTGTCTAAAATATGAAAATGTCTTCGTCTTTCATATCTGGTCTCGCTTTCAATTTTGAAAAATACTAGCTTCTCAAAGCCGACAACTAATGCACTTTTAAATCTTTCCCCAAAATAACTTCAGGGCCCCATGTCTATTTTTTCTTCACTGACATAGTTTGAGCATCTGAAATATGAAAGCGGTGGCATTTTACTTGTTTGGACTCCTTTTTGGTTTTGGCAAACACTTTCTTCTTAAAGTTGATGGCCATATAATTCATACATCATTCCATGAAGAAACTTAGGGACCGTGTTTGTATTTTTTTTTCTTTAGTGATACAGTTTGAGCGTCTAAAATATAACAGTGGTATGGTCTTGCATAGTTTCACTCTTCTTATTCAGTTTCAACAAACACCAGCTTCACAAAGTTGATGGCCATGGAACTTTTCAATCTTTCCACAACACAACTTCAGGGCTCATGTCTTTCTATTTCTTCAAAATTTCACGAAAAAACTAATTCCTTCTTAAATTATATTACATATTTTGATTTGTGAGCCTACGAAACTGAAGGTACCCTAAATGCATTTTATAATGAGTGAGTAAGTTGGGGGAAGGGGGAATGAGTCAACTTGAGTCAAGGTCACCAAATTACAATCAATATTTTCCAATGATGTGGTGGAAAAAGACTTATGGAGGAGACAACTGCATCGTTGTCATCATATTTCCTAATGCTGTTTGAGCATGTAGAACATAAAAACGACTTTGTTTTACATGTATATATTCTCGTTCAATTTCGACAAACACTAGCTTCTTAAGAGTGTTTAGTTAGGAAGAAAAAAAATGATGGAATGTGAAATCATTAGAATAAGAACGTTAAAAGAAATATAGTTTATTCATGTTTATGGTTAGCATGGAAAATTTGAAAGAAAGTTTTAAAAAATTTTAATTTTATTATTTGCAAGGTAGGAAGGCTACAATTAAATATTCCTTGTTGTCCAAAATATCCTTTTCCGTATTAAACTTGAATAAATAATAAAAATAACAAACATGTATTATACCTAAAAATTAGAAAAATAAGAAAGTGTCACCTAGGCTATTTCTTGGACAAAGATTGACTCGACCCTAGACCGGCGGGGTAGATTCTATAGTCGCTCACCCATACCAAACTATTTAAAATTAATAAAAAAAATGGAATATTTAAGGAAAAATAAGGATAAAATGGAAACTCAAATTATAGATCACAATTTTCATACTTTTTCTTGTGTTTTTTATAAGAAAAAAGTTGGTTATTTATGAAAAAATCTATGCATGTGAAAAAATTAATTCTTCATTGTTTTGAATTTTATGCTAAACAAACACGGAAAATTTGTAAATTTTTCCTTTCTTGCAATTTCTATCATTATCTTGCTAAACAAATGAACCCTAAAGTTGATGGTTATGACAGTTTTAGATTTTTTTATGAAGCAACTTCGGGGTCCGAGTCTTTTTCTTTTTTCATTGACATAATTTGAGCATCAGGAATATAAAAGTGCCATTGTCTTAAATGTTGGTCTCTCTTTCAGTTTGGACAAACACTAGCCTCTCAAAGTTGACAGACATTGCACTTTTAAATCTTTCCATGACATAACTCTGGGGCCCATGCTGTCACTTTTTTCGTTAACGTTGTTTGAGCATTTGGAATATGAGAATGACGACGCCTCACATGTTTGAACTCTCTTTCAGTTTCAGTAAAACACTGGCTTCTCAAAGTTGATGGTTATGACGCTTTTAAAGCATTCTATTAAGAAACTTTAAGGATTGGGTCTATCTCATTTTTAATTGACTTAGTTTGATTGTTTAGAATATGAAAGTGGGGTTGTCTTACATTTGGACTCTCTTTCAGTTTCAGCAAATACTAACTTCTCAAAATTGATGGCCATGACACTTTTAAATCTTTTAACAAAGCAACTTCGTGGCTCGTGCCTTTCTCTTTTTTCACAATTCTCGAAAAACTTATATGGTTCCTAAAATTGTATATTTTGGTTCAATCCTTGAAATATACTTTTCCTCAGTTCAATCTTGAAATGCTTCAATTCGAGCCAAGGTGAAATTCACATCTAATAGATAGAATTATCATTTCAAGGATATAATCATGCACCCAGTTGTACCATCAAACTATTGCGCATAAAAACTCAACAATAACTTCGNTACCATCAAATTTCATAAAGGTAAGTTCAACCATCAGTGCGCCCATAAAAACTCAACAATAACTTAGGAATTCTATTGCTCAACTATATAAAATTCATAAGCATTATCAATTTGAGAAAACACCAACTTAATGTTATTCACCATGATCATCCAAATAAACATAATGCCTAGTTTGTTTGATTTTTTATAGACTTTGGGCAAAGCCCTTTCATTAGGACAACTTGATTTAGTAATAGTAGTTAATTTTTCATTTTTTAGTGCCTAATAAGTATTCAAAGTACATTAATGAAACTGATTTAGTCCACACCAATTTAAAAAATTTATTCCATTACGTATTTAACCAAACCAAGCATGCAAATGTAACAAAATAAGAACTAACAAGAAAATAAGGTAAATGCTGACTACATTAATTCTTTAAGTTATCAATAAGTTCAATCCTAAGTTTCAACAAAATGTACACTCTAATAAGCAATAAGTAGTACTACCGTGAGTCTTGTTTGTGTAGTAATCACCATACACAAAAATTGTAGGCATTATGTAATTCCCTATTACCGAATAGTACAAATTAATAATATATCAACGATTAGGTAGTTTCGTTACCTTTGAGTATCGGATTTCATACCTATTATGAATATACATTAATTATCCTATTCTAGTTAATTAATCACTTCAAAGGTGACACTCATTTTGGCCGATTCATAATATCCAAGTGATAAAAAATTGGGATTTTTAAGACATTATTTTAATAAATTGGTAATGGGTATTAAATATCAATTATATGATTTAATACCTATTACTTATTTTAATTGGGCCACTTTGGTATAATATGGACATTAAATCAAAATTATTACGTTGTACAAAAAATAATTTTAATATCTCGATATAATGGATACTAAGATGAATTGTGTGATTTGATATCTAAGTCACTCTAGTTGGGCCACTGAACTCTGTCATAATATAGATATTAAAATAATAACATTGCACAAACAAATATTTTAGTATGACAAAATAATAGATATTAAAATTAATTATGCGATTTGATATCTATGAGTCATTCTAGTTAGATCACTATGATGACTACCAAACTATATCGTAATATAGATCTCAAATCGAAATAATGACAGTAGATAAACTATTATTTAAATATCTCGATAATGTATATTAAATATCAACTATGTGGTTCGATATCTGTGAATTCTAGTTGGGTCACTTTGGGGGCTGCCAAAATTATAGCATATTTTAAATATCAAATCAAAACAACGACTATGCATAAATCATTAGATCAATAATAACCAATTACTAATAATATTGATGACTATGAGGGACAAGGTCAATCATGAGACTTAAATAAACCCATCAATAAATAAAATCTTGCATGGATGGTGGATATCATAAAAGTATACATCTTAAGGATTATCATGATTCATGAATAAACTATAATATTGTGAATATGCACTCGTATTTTATAA